TGTGACCACAGTGAGATGTTGGCTAGGGCTGCCATCAATCCAAGATGACTCCCTCACGTGGCAGATGACTGATACTAGCTATCAGCCAGGAGCTCATGTCTGCTATGGACCAGAGCACATGCACGTAGCCTCTCCAGTTTGGCAGTCCCTCAGAGTCTGACTTGTTACTTGCTGGTTCAAGCATCCCAACAAACAAGGCAGAAACTACCAGGCTTTTTCTTCCCTATTCTGACATGTAACACGGCATCACTGCAGCCACACTCTATTGTCACAAACAAGTGATAAGTCACTCAGATCCAAGCAGGAACATAGACCCCACCTCTTGATGTGAAGTCAAGTTCACTATGTAAGAACATATGGGCTGAGAGATACTGTTTGCAGCCATCTTTGGAAAACACAGTATCTTACAGGACTCAAGGCCATCTGTTGTTTTAGTGCATGTACCAAAAATATTGGGAATGTTGCCTAAAGTCTCTACAGATATAAAATTAGTCTTCCACATGTATCATCTTCCAATTAATTTTTTTTTAAGATTTTTATTGGAGAATTGGGGGGATGGGAACAGCGCTGGGGAATTGGGGGAAGGGGAACAGACAAGTTACTGTCCTTTTGTTCTTCAGTCTAGTTGTGGAGGACGTTGCTTCACTGGCTCAAGTTGGCACCATCACTGCGCTCTTCCCGGGCGAGGCAGATCAGTCACAGGCCTCGGGACTGCCGCTCACGGAGGCTCATGGCAGCTCACGTTGGCTGCTGGCTATATACGGTAGCCCATGGCAACCCACTGCCACAGGGGCTGCAGCCTACACCATCACTGGCGACTCACAGCAGGCCAGCTCCAGGTTGAGCTGTTGTTCAGCATCTTAGCTGTGGAGGGCAGTGTCACTGGCTCTCATATGTGGGATCTGAACCGGGGCCCTCTGGCGTCCCAATCCAGTTCTTAACCAACATGCCATTCAGCTGGCCCATCATCTTCCAATTAATTTTAATAACAATAAGTTTTGTTACTAATCACCTTTTTAACTTGTCACTTTGCTACATGCTTTGAAGGAAAAGACTTGCTAGTCTTAGTACAGGATTTTTATTTTCCTTCATGGGCTCTGATGAAGGAAGAGAATTGATAATAATGAGTTTATTAGAAGCAAGAGGAAATAGTGACTTACAAATTATTCCTACCCATTACAATGTGTCTCTTTAAAAGAATGGCTCCTGTGGTTGCCATTTGTGATTAATCAGGAAAAAAAATAGGAAAACTTTTCATTAATTTTGTTTATTTTGAGCCAGAAAACAAAGGAGATAAATGTATACTTAGTTACATTTGTCTGTTAGACTGTGCTAAGTACTATATCTAGATATATATCTACATTTACATCTCTAAGTATATCCATGTCTATAGTCAATCCTCATATCAAATCCTTCAGATGAAAAAGTAGAGACTCAGTGACATTAGGTAGTTTCCCAAAGTCATAGAACTGATTTGTTGTAGAGTTCAAGCTTGAAATCAGTATTCAGTGACTTTAAAGCTTGTGCTCTTTCCACAACATCATTTACATTAAAATATCACCATAAGTGCATACTTTTTCTTGATGGAGTGGTCATCTGAATACTTCTTCAAAATTACTTTTCCTTGACAACATACATTTTCTTAAAATTCCTTTAATAAGAGCCTCTTCAACTACTGGATAAGTATGCAATTTTCATAAGTGACACATAGTGATGTTCTTAAGTTGCATTCACTTGTTTCATAGTGGCTTTCTCATCACTGAAAATCCTGGGAAACTCAATATACAGTTGCAGAGGTGAGAGTCTTTTCATTTATATCTACACTCAATCAGCCATGGCTCAGAAATCCTATTCTAACTTGATTAAAAAAAAAAATAAATACCTAACAGGGACCTTGTTTTCTCCGTGAATAAAATTTGTCACCAGATAGGCAATTTTATAACTCAACTTCTTCCGAATAACTTTACCTTGCTTGGCTATCCAAAAACTATACAAATCAGCTTACATGTGTTATTAAAGAAAGAAATCTATAAACATGTATCCATTAATACATTTCTACAATCCAGACAATCAAATCTCCCACATCTTTGCTATTTCAGTTTTTACATGGAACACTTTCATTGCCATCTCAATACTTTAATAAACCATGTGTTTTCAGAGCGGTGAACTTTTTTACTCCCCAGGGATCACACACACACACACACACACACACACACACACACACACAGTCGTTCCATGTTCCACTGGGCCTAGTTTATGCCTGTGTTACACCAATCATGGACTAGGGGTGTTGGCATTTTTAAATCTACTGCTTTAGTCATTGTACTATACCATCTTTGGGTGTGTGATGCCTACTGCAGTATCTGGCAGAGAAATGCAGTTGTGAACTGACAGCTAAACTAGCAGTGGAAACGTAATAGTTTCTTTATGGTGATTAACTGTGACCCTACACTAAAATCTTTGGTGTAGGTGAGAATTAGCTGCTTCTCCTAACCTCACTAGGCAGTTATAATGAAATAAATTTCAGACCAAATTCGACCACACACACAGATAGTTATTAACCACACATGTCTTAGCTAGGAGACACAAAGAGATCACACAACCTATTCCGTAAGCTCAGTGAAATCCCAGCACTCTGGCCCTGGGAGTTCCACCCACCACCATGCGTGAAAGGCTCACCAAAGCAAGTGGCAGCAATATTCCAGGGCCAGGATCTGGTTACCGTATTTTTACAGCTGGGCAACCAGGAGTCATTCTAATCTATAGGGGGATCCAAGACTATTCAGGGCTGTAAGATGACACTATTTTCATGGACAAAACCCATGATGCTTAGGAGGCTAATTAGCTCAGCATCAGCTGTTGACTGAAGTCCAGATGACTGAAGTGCTGCGTAGCCATTGCACAGTGCAGCCTTGGTGATAAATGCTAACTGAACCACCTCCAGTTTAGGGAAACATAGTGCCCTACAGTAGAAACTAACACTAAATAGCACAGTCCTGCTATTTACATGGCCTATACTAACATGGTTTAATGAAAAAGCGTTCAAATGCAATAAATCACACATTTATCCAAATACACTGTGCCAGATGTCAGGGTCATAAAATTAAGAAAGATATGGCTCCTGTCTTCAAGGAGCTTACCATCTAGTGGCAGGAACATAAGCAGGGCCTTCACTGTAGCATAAAGTGATCAATGCTGAATTAAGGGCACACCCTGGGTGCCAACGGGATCCTTAGGAAGGGTAGCTATGTCAGACTCAGGAGTTGGTCCGATTTAGCTTTTAGAGGAGATGGTTCTTGAGATAGCATTAGAACGCCAGCATGAGTTAATTTAGATGCACTAAGTAGAGGAAACAATTTTAGACAAAAGCCGCTGACCATTTCTGAGGGCACAGAGGTTGGAAACCTCACAGTCCATTTTAAAAACTGTAAGTAGTTCAGAACAGCTCGAGGAACATGGCGAGTGAGCTGAGTAGAGGGAGATGAACTTAGGGAGATGAGATCATCTAGGTTTTGTGTGTTAAGGTAAGGCATTTGAGCTTTTCTGAACGATATGAAGATCATGAGAGAATTTTAATCATGGAAGTAATACACATTTTAGAAAGACCACTCCAACAGCAATGTGTAAGGTGGGCTGAACTAGGATTGGGGATGAGGCAGAGTTGATGAGGTAGTAATACCCATGCAAAGTGCCAAGAGCTTGAGCAAATGCATGAGCATTGAGAACAGTGAAGGAGACAGGTTCAAAAGAAAGGAATCCAAGGATGTGAGGAAGAGTGGGCTAAGATGAGAGTGTGAGAAAAATCTAGAATATTTCAGAGCCATGGACAATTGTGTAGATAGTGCTACACAAGAAGTATAAATGACTGACAATGAGTGAAGTAATGATCAAATGAATAGTAGCTCCAATATGGGGCATTTATTCCTTATTATAAGAAGCCATGAAATAAATAAGTTTCTTTTATAAGTTTGTATAACATTAAAAAAAAAATGGAAGGCTGTGACAGGAGCTTCTTCTCATGACCAGACACTAAAACATCTCTGTCAACCCACTGGATTCTCTTTTCTCTTGCTTGGCTGGTGTTATATGGACTCTCAGTTCCTTGTACTTTGATAAGCACTTTCACTACAGATGTTTGTCCTCACTGGTCAACCTAATAGTGATTACAGTTTATCACTATTTTATTTATTTATTTAGTACATTTTTATTTATGTAAGCACTATAAGCTATAATCCAATGAATGCATGTTATCCTGCAGTAAGCATACTTAATTCTCTCCTGAAGCAGGTGACAGCTTAGACTGATTAAAAATACAAAGTAATTAATAAAATGTGTCTTTAGCTGTATAAAAATTATGAATTACTCTAAGTGACTCTCCCTAAGTCACTGATTCATTAAGTACATATGTTTATATATTATACAATTTAAAACAGAAACACACACTTTTATCTATACTATAGTTGTTCCATCATGCAAATATATGTTCTCCTAACTAAAATATAGCTTAAAGTTCCTGAAGGATATCACCTGTTTTCTAATAAAATGTGAATTTTTCCTGAAAATTCTGTAAAACTTTATTTATAAGAAAACAAGCAATAAATCAATATATGGAATTCAATGAATAATATTGTTAACTGGAAAAGCAATTCTATATTAAAACAGTAACTACTTTTAAAGATCTAGAGAATGATGAAATACAATCAACTATAAAATTCATGTAACATCATTACAGCATATCATTTAATATTTTAAAGTTAACCAAAAGATATTTTAGAATCTTGAAGGCTGTTAAGAATAGTATTTTAAAAGTCAATAATTATGTTGTGGATGTTTGAAAATATAACTTCTATTAAATGCTTTTCTATTGAATTCAATACTAAATAATAGATTTTACTATGCAAAAAAAGAATTCAGACAGTGAAGCAAAAGCAGAATGATTTATTATGTCAATTATAATTCAACAAAATACATCAAATAACAGATATGTGTTTTCTAACAATATGGAAATAACAGTGTAAAATAAGAAGTTAACTACAAAAAAAGTTAGTTACATCTCCTAAATAGAGAAATTTCCTACAAAAAGCACATATGAATATTTATAATAAGAGGGTGGAGGTTCATTTAAGAGTATGCCGTCATATTAATATGTTAAAGTCCAGAAGATTCCCTCCTTTTTTGTTACAATATGCCAGCCTGTACATTTTCTGATAATATTCACATAAAAATATGACAACAATATTCAGAACAGATTTATTAAGAACTAAATAAAATTTTATCAGTGAAAAATACTACATGTATACTGAGCATCCACAGTATTAATCATTTTAATATAACATCAATTTGTATTAAGATGACTACAGCTGGATAAATTTTTCCAAGAAAAAGAATGTGACCCAGAAACAATGTTAAAGATGTTTATCTGCCAAACTATCTTCCAGCACATGTTTTAATTACAATAACTTAATTGAAAAAAGTCCCAAGAAATAAAGAATTTAGCTAGTGAAAATAGCACTAAAATGTTTATATATATTCTCTTTCTGATATTTTAATAGTAAGTTTTAGAACTTCCACAAATCTTGAGAAGTACTACTTTGAATTTATTGGGTTCACACACATGACATTTCTGATAATGTTGTCAAGGCTATAGATGAATAAAGTTATGCCAAAAGTCATATTCTACAAAGTATACACTTTCCTTTTTTAACTACTTATTTTGTTCAACACTATTTTTTTTTACTTTATATTAACATGTAAAATTTAAAATTATGAACTTGGAAACTCTCTAAAGTTTTCTCTTCTTTGTATTTCCAAAGAGAAGTGAAGAATATACAAGAATTTAGCAAGAATGATTACAACATATCTAAAGTACAACAAATAAAGACCTCTGAAATAGATTCAAGATAAGTAATAAATAAAAAAGACAGATCTTTTCAAACTTATAGATAGGCGAGCACTCGTACCTGTGCATGAACATACATATATCCCTACATTTATCTTTCTGAATATTTCTCTTTCCAGACTCAACCTTTGTGAGGGGGAAAAAAAAGAAAACAAAATAAAGAGAGCCCTAGAAAAATGTATTGCAGTGTTTGATCATACTTTACAATGAATTAATCTCTCCTTTAAAATGTTTAGTGCTAATGACATACTCATTTAAAAAAACTAAATCCCCCATGGAGTACGTAAGATATTAACAAAATCTTCATCGTTTACTATTCCTATACTTAGACCTTCATAGTAATCTTCAAATTCGCCATATGACACTTCATCAGAGTTGTTGCAGGCATCTTTTAATGTTTCTAGGAAAGATGATTTGATTTGTTCCTCTGTGAAATGGCCTGTAAAATAGTGCCGACTATGTAACAATCTCCTTAAAGGTATAGGAAAATGACTGATGATAGTAAAGAAATACTTTTTATCTTATAAAATCTTTTCAACAATTTGAAAGCTTATGTCAAACTACTCTCTAATTTATTTAAACATTTTCATGCTTGAACTATTATTTAATGGTGATGACTTTAGTACACATTTGAGGCATGTTTTATTTAAGCTTCTGATAGGGTACATCCTATATGTATAGGCAAAATAATAATTACTAATGTAAATATTTTTGTATTTCTTAGTATTTTAGAGGACTTAGAAATAAGAACAGAACAGAACAAGTAAATAATTTCAAAGATTTACAGCCTGTTAACACAGTAACACAATTATTCTGTGTGAAGGGCATCTCCACATCAGGCATTGGTTATTTTATAAATCAGTTACTCATTACTGCAGCTAGAAGATATTACTGTAAACACAGTATTCAGAGGCCTCTGAAAATTTTTGCTGGGAGAATTTACACTAGACTAAATCATTGTATTTTAATCTCTGATATTAAGTAGGCTTTTTCCACTGGGTTATGTTAAATATGATTGATTTTATTCTATAGAAAAATGCTATTGAGAATCATATATAAAAAAATTATAAATCTTTAGTTTATTATTTGAAGAGAGAAAACAAAATATCTGATTCATCTTTTTTTAATTCATTTGATTTTTTAATTCAGAAAGAGAACAATAAGCTATTTAAATAAGTAGCTTTGATCCTATTATGGTCAGAGAGAAGGAGTGATTTCTTAAATACCATTTTCTTGGGAAGCTTTCACTGACCTCCCCAAATGTAGGTACTCTTATCAAGAATTCATGTCACTAATCTGCCACTCCCTTTACCCCCTACCCCCACCCCCCTCTTTGCACTGATTTACTCCTGGGATCCTAGAATAGAACAGGAAAGAAGATACTCATAAATTTTTTAATAAGAAAAGAGGAATTAAGAGATGAAAGGAAGCTATAGAAAAGATGGTCAGGTAATACTCAAAGAAAACAAACAGAGGCTCATATATAAAGGCAGAAAAAGGGTCAGAAAAATCTACGGGACTCTACAAATCATTTTAAAGTCATGTTGCATTTTAAAATAACTAACTGAAATGGGAATACCACCTTAATTGTCTAACAGGGTGGGCAAAATTAGGGCAAGAGTTGAATCTTTTTCCAACACCAGAGATTCTCTAATGGTCTTACATAATAATTCATTTTAAAGTGCCTATCAAACTAAACGAATAAAATCTGCTTTGAATAGCAAAACGTTTGCTGTCTTTTAAAACATATATGAGAAATACAGAACAGGTGATTATTTTTGAAAAAACAGGTTGAATAAACAAGGACTGAATAATTATGTTATACGGAGATGGTAATATAAAACAATTAAGTGAATTTGTAATTGAATGTTAGTCAAGGATAAACATTAATCAAGATTTAATCTATATAAAAATACATAACTGTTGGCAGAAGAGATTTCCCCATTACCATCCATACTTTTGAATAGATAAATTTTAACACTATTTTTTCTAAGAAAAACATTTTTTTATTTAAATTTATGTTTCAAATATTCAAGAATTTTACACCTCTTTTGTCTCCCCCACCCAGGAAATGCCTACCTTCTATCATTCATTTGTAACTAACCTTTCTTCTGCTCCCCTTAGAGAACAAAGTATTTTTATTAAACAACATTTAAATAAATGTTGTTTAATTACCATTAAACAGAAAAACATTTGATAAATCTCATTTCTATTAAAGCTGCATGTACTTTTTAAAATAAGTTATTTACACAAAGTAAAAAGATAACATTTTCTGTAGTTAAATTACGTATGATGTAAAAGCCTTAATATGAATTTAATTCGATAGGCATGTGAATAAACTATAATTTGTAATCATAGATAACAAAAAAGTTTTTGTTTTTCTTTTTTAAAAACAATAACAGGTTTTCCTCTTAAGATTGTTTACTTGCTAGCTTATCTTCCTTAACAGTAAATGCAAAGACAAGGTATGTAATTTCTTAAACATAGGCTTATCCAACAACAAAAACAGAACCCTCACCAATTCAATGACACATGAAAAAACTGAAGCTCCTTAAGCAATTTAATTAAGATAAGAGGGGAAAAGACAGAAAAAAACACAAGGTGCTGAAATCACCTAATTTTGAAATAAGTAAACTATCTGTTCTTATATTTAGTATCACTAATTAAATAAAAAAAGCAGAGAATGACATGGATTTTAAGAGAAATATATACTAAATATAACTAAATCTAGAAATTCTCTTAGGGCAACTATAATTCATTTTAAGTCACTGATAAGCAAATTAAACTATTTTGACCTGAAACAGATTATTAAAAATTGGGAAGCCAGTGATGATTAGCTTTAAATTACATACAAATTTGATTTTTTTTTCACTTCACAGTTAAAAGTAATAAATAAACCATTTACAAAGGTTAATAACAATAAACCAAAATAATTATAGTACATCTTATTTTAACATTAAAAAAGGAAAATTCTAGAATAATAGTATTCTATAGTATTTAACAAAACAATCAAAATTATGAATTATAAAGAAACTACTCATTAAATATAAATTATAGTCAATAAATATAAAAAAATATGTTTAAACTCCCTAGTAACGAGGAAAATTTTTTAACATATCAGATTGGCAAAAATCTGAGGTGAAATAAATCTCTAACAAATAGTATAATCTGGTATAGCCATTTTAAACAGCAATTTGGAAGTAGCAACAAAAACTGGAAATACAGATATTCTAGGTTTTGATATTACCCCAAGGAAACAACAGAAAATGGGTCTAAAGAATCACAAGTAAACATACTCATTGCTTCATTGGTTGCACATCAATAATTAGAAATTAAAAGTATTCCAGTAGGAGACCAGCTAAGTAAATTATATTATACTGATATTTAAAAAGAATATGCAGTAGATAAAAATAAGATGGCTCAATGTGGATTAACATAAAAAGAGCTCCAAAACATAGTTTGAGTGTCAAACACAAACTAACATATGTTTAGAAACACTTTCATGAAAAAAAAACTTCAAAAAAGTATTAGATATTTATAGTACAAATAAAGCTATGAAAACCCATAAAAATTGAAATATGTACATATATAATATATAATATATAAATAATTTATATAAAATATAAATATTATATATATATATAAATAATAATTGTTACCTTTGCAGAGGGAAATGTAATGAAAAGAAGGTAGTTACTGGGGCCAAATGCTTTCTCTATAATAAGAATTTATTTATAAATCAATTATGTAAAAACTAAAGTCAGAAGAAATACAGTAGGTAATGAATCTCTAGAATTACTCTGAGATATTTTCTGTATCCTCAAATTTTCATAGACATATGTATGTTCATTTCATATATATATATGTATATATATATATATATATATATACATATATATATCTCCAGTCCTAGAGAAAGACATTCCTTCATCCTGCTTTAAATATTCAAGTATAATAAGCACATTCAGTAAAACTAATTCAGAGAACTTGCACATGTAATTATCTGTTCTCTATTTTGTTCTTTCTAACTCAAGTTCCTCACTATTTCCTCAACAGGAAATAAAAGTTCAATCTTGATTATAAATATCAAAGAAAAAAATAAGTACAGACAATAGACCTAAGAATTTATTATTATTATTATTATTATTATTATTATTATTATTAGTTTCAGGTGTACAAAGCAATGCACTAGTTATCCTTTTCACCCCTCACAAAGTGACAACCCCCCTTTCCCTATCCACTTGCCCCCCCATATCATACATATCTATTACAATTCCATTGACTCCATTCCCACACTCTACTCCACATCCCATGACTATATATGTAGTAAATTATAGTTGACATATAATATTATTCAACGGCAGCTTCAGATAAGACCTAAGAATTTTTAAATGAAAAAAGTCAAATAGCTCTCACTTTTCTGGGTTAAAAAAATAATTGTTTATTTCTCCCTTAATAAAGTTAGGTCCACAATATAAATCAATATTATTTGAATATATTACTTTTATTAGCTAACATTTTAGAAATCTAATGCATTTTGACTCATAGTTACCTGAAATTACTTGAGGATGTTTCTTTGCACAGTAACATTTTCTTATGTCTGTAATAGGTACACTGCCAGTTTTGTTGAAATCCAGTTTCATAAAGGCCTAAATAAAGAAAGAAATGCTATTTTTTCTATGAAATCATTAGACATGAGATCCTAATCTTCTTTTCTGCAGTAGGCTATTTATAGGCTCTAGACAAGACAGTTTAAAAACACTAAACTGGTGGATATGGAGGGAGCATATCAGGAAGACAAAGAAGAAAGATATTAAAGCACGATATTAGGTGTCAACCGATGGCAGTTGGCACCAATTCAACTCCAACAGGAATCCCCAATTTGGGGTGTGGTGAAAAAAGAAACTTTACCCAGTACAAACAGTTCAATTGTGATACAGAATGGCTGTGAGAACAGCGTGGCTGTGGAACAACTCAACAGTGTTACAGCTCAATTATGAAACAGCAGGCAGTGGAATAGCACAGCTGCAAGGTGGCCCTTAGGTGAGGTGACCCTTGGGTGGTGATGTCCGTCTCCAGTAAGGCAACTCGTTCCTTTCCAATCCAGTCTACTCTGCTCTGCTCTGGTCCTGGGAGATGTCTTCAGTGTTTCAGCTCCAGCTGGGGAAATGCTGCCTTTGGTCCTTGGTGGAAAAGGAAAGTGCGCTCCCTGAGCCAGAGGGGAGCTAACTTAGTAGAGAGAGAAGTCCCTGCTGCTGGCCCCTGATTGGTTTGTCCTCATGCAAATGAGTACTCCAAATTTTCACAGTCTGATCGGTCCAAAAAGCACTGTCCTGATTGGCCAGAATGGAGCTGCTTTGATTGGTCAGTGAAAGATGTTAATGAGGATTTAGCTGCGCAGCTCCAGCTGGACAGGGAAAGTCTCAGTCCTATTGGTTGAAATACAATTCCAAGAACTCCTTTATAAGGGCTAGCTCAGATGGCAGGAACACGGTGCAGGCAGTCAATTCAGTGCACGATTCTCGCTGAAGTGTGGTTTGCGTGAGAAGCTCCTATTTAGAAATGGCCACTGGGCTCTGTTTTTAATTTGAGCCCAGTTAGCCACTACGAGCCCTTGTTAGTGGGTATCTCTTGGGGGTCGACATAGGTAACCTGCACTAGAGCATTATTAGTTCTACCACTTTCTGGCACCCTGACGTTGATAAAGTAACCTAACCTCTGTTGTTCTGGCTTTCCTCCTCTGCACACTGAAGGGGTTGGTAAAAAAGTTCTTAGGTAATTCAAGCTGTAGGATTCATATGAAACTGATAAAGGGCCAGAGCAAATTGCCAGGACTATTTTGTTTCAAAAGTGAACTTCTAAATATCCCATCACTAAAATCATTGAGAAAGTGAAATGACTTTTTAAATGGGTTTAACAAGTGGGTTTGTTACTCTATTTCCTGAAATTTAACATAACCTTTTGAAATGCTAGTTGTTTTATTGTTCCTCTAATTCAATGCAACTCTGAGTATCATACGATAAAATATTTAGTTAAAAACAGGAGTGGATACATAGAAACACATAAATGATCCAAAGCAACATCCCATATTTTCAGAAGACTCAAAACTAGAATCAAGTTTGTTTAGCCACAATATATTCACAGAAATATGGTACCTGCTATAGGCTGAACTGTGTCCCCCAAAATTCATGGGTTAAAGCCCCAGTACCTCACACCGTGACTGTATTTGGAGATAGAGCCTTTAAAGAGGTAATGAAGGTAAAATGATGTCATATGGTGGGCCCTGATCCAATCTGACTGGTCTCTTTAGAAGCGGAGATTAGGACAGACAACACAGACTGAGAGACAACCATGTGAGGACACAGGGAGAAGACAATTATAAGCCAAGGAGAGAAGCCTCAGGGGAAACCAAATCTGCTGACACCTTGATCTTGGACTTCTAGGTTCCAGAATTTTGAGACAATAAATTTCTGTTGTGTAAGCCACCTAGTCTGTGGTACTTGTTACAGCAGCCCTAGAAAACTAATATGGTACTTTGGTCCTCTATTCCCAGTACCAACATTTCTGAAAGAGACAACCCTTCAGTTTCTATTTCTTATACTCAAACCTATCACTACGTTATGTAAAGTATAAATAAATGCAAATATCTAAATACTATGAGGAGAATTTGATATTTTCTATTTAAGGTTTATACTTGATATAATTGCTAATAATACTGTATACACCATATTAGATACATGTATATTGTATATTAGGTACAACAAAAGAAAAGGAAAACTACGTTGCTCAAAAGTATACTTTAAAAATGCTATCAGGGGGCCGGCTGAGTGGCTCAGTTGGTTAAGAGCTCGCTCAAGAGTTTGAGCTCTGAGCAACAGCGGTTCGAGTCCAGCCCGAGCTGAGCAGCCGCTGAGCTGCCAACAGGTAGCAGGATGGCTCAGCTAAAAAAAAAAAAATAAAAAAAAATGCTATCAGAACCAGAATAGTTTCCTATAAAAATCAGTGCTCCTGTTTTTAATTCTAATTTAATATGATCATTTTAGTCTTCATTTTAACACTTAGCATATGTATTACAAAAACCAGAAAACTATCTTAGTCATCCTAAGGTAACATGTATTGAGCCTTGACCCTGGGAGAGCCACAAACTAAGAATTTTACATGTATTATCTCATTCAATCCTTATACTAGCTCTAGATATAAGGAACTGAGACTCAGGGATATTTAAAAACACATAGAGTCATACAGCTATATCATATAGTCATATATGGAGCCAGCAATTTGTGAAACTACTAATTTGTGAATCAAAATTTAATTTCAGATTTTATTTTATTTTTATAATATTTCATAAAATGTATGCATAAATTATTTAGCTTTATCCTGGAAGAGTTGTATATGTCTGTGTTTGTTTGTGTTTTACTAAAATCAAAATACATTACAGGCAAAGGGATTTAAAAAGACTTTTCAACGGTAATTCATTAAAGTTTTAAAATAATGAACCTAACAATATTTTAAAAGTCACTATTTGAAAAATTATTTCACAAAGTTACCTTTCGAACAAATGATTTCCTGTATTCATTCATTTCACCAATAACAGCACGTTTGAATTCTCCATAGTCAACCTTGCCATTGCCACTGTCATTCAAAATCAGCCATGAAGACTCAAAATTCTAGAAATAACCACACAGAGACCACTGTTACACCTTTAAGCTGTATATGGCCAAAACATAATAGTACTTGTTACATCTTTTGCAGTCCTAGACAAGATAGGGAACTTAAGAAATTCCAAAAAGTCATATATAAATCCAATTAAAGGCACTCAGAAAGCTATTTAAAGGAACTCAGTGGTAGACAGTTCTGTAAAGTTAATAACCATTTAGGAGTGGCAATAAGTCACAAATTACCTTTTTAAATTCAGATCCTTTCTATACAAAAATAAAAAATGCTTACCATTTACTTGGATTTGAACATTAAATTATTTTCACATAATGTATCTGTCTGTGACAATTAAAAAGTCACGTCAGGATTTTCAGTCAAGATGGCAGAGTAGGTAAATGCTGTGCTTCACTCCCCTCAGGACCACATCAATCATAACTAAACCACAGAACAACCATCATTGAAAATCACCTGAAGTCTTGCTGAATGAAAGCCCTACAACTATAGACATACAGAAAAGCCATCTCGAGACTGATAGGAGGGGCAGAGATGTGGACTGGTTCTACACCTGCATGTAACTGTTAAAAATTGGGAGCAATATCTTGGTTGCAGAGGGCCCCCCCTATGGAGTGAGGCTCCTCCCTAGCCCAGGGTTTTGGTGCTGGGGAGAGAAGTCCTCATAACTTCTGGTTGTGAAAACCAGCAGAGATTATGGCTGAGTGAGACAGAGGGCAGCTGCACTCCCAGGTGCTCCTCTTAAAGGGCCTGTGCATGACTTACCTGCTGACAGACACACTCTTTCTGAGCTCCTGCGCTGGGGCAGTAGCTCCAAAGGTGCCAGAGACATACAGGGAATAACTGAATTATCTGTCTTCAGGGTGAGGGCTGGAGGGGCAGCTTTCTCCTGGACGGAGGAGCTGGCAGAAGCCATTCTTTCTCTGTTGAGCCCTCCCCTTCCATCCCTGCATGCAGACACAAGCAGACATCATATCTGATGTCTCCATCCAACTGGCTATCACTTTTTCTCTGCCCTGATTCACTGAGTCACATCCAACCCAATTTTTGGGCACACCCAAGGAACTTCCAGTGGCTTTTCCATATAAATGTCCTGTCTTGGCTCATGCCATGGACTTTTCTAAAATCTCTCAAAGATTCACAAAATCAAAACAAGCAGCATCTGGCTTTGGTGTGTCCTGTACTTCTGGCTGAGCAGCCCTAAGCCTGGCACTAGCAACAGCCAGCCTTGGTTTGTGGCTTGGACTCTCAAGGCACCTCTAAACCTAGTGTGGACAGTGGCCATCTCTGGATTGCTTTGTGGCTCATGCCAGCTGGCCCTTGACAAGGCACAGACTGCAGCTGAACTTGGCTGCAGCAGGTCCCCTCTCAGGAGGCCCTTGGGCTGGCAGACCCAGTGGCCAGGTTCAGAGTGGGTCAGAGCATCATCAGGCCACCTCCAAAGATGACACATCGAAAAGGTAGACTGGGCAGGCACCAGAGCCCCACTAAAGTAAATCCTATTCTGTAGGGTCAGCCTCTACACAACAGCTCCTCCACTGTAGTCACAGCCAGTCCTCACAACCAATCAGTCTGAGGGTCAATCCCTCCCATTGATGTGCAAATATCAAGTCACAACTACAACAGGAGGGTACACATAACCCACACAAGGGACACACATGGAACACCTGGGCAACTGCACCATGGGGTTCCAAAGGACACCTACTACATAAAGGCCACTCTACTAAGACCAGGAGGCATAGCAGCCCCACATAGATCAAAACAGAGAGAGGCAGCCAAAATGGGGAGACAAAAAATGTCCTAAATAAAAGAACAGAACAAAGCTCTAGAAAAAGAACTAAACAAAATGGAGACGAGCAATCTACCAGATACAGAGTTCAAAACACTGGTTATAAAGATGCTCAATGATCTCAGGGAGAACTTCGACAAAGAGATAGGAAACTTAAAAATGGAGATAGAAAATATAAAAAAGAACCAGTCAGAAATAAAGAATACAATAACTGAAATGAAAAATACATCAAAGGGAATCAACAGTAGATTAGATGAAGCAAAGAATCAAATCAGCAATTTAGAAGATAAAGTAGCAGAAAACACCCAATCAGAACAGCAAAAAGAAAAGAAAATCCAAAAAATTGAGGAGAGTTTTAGGGGCATCTGGGACAACATCAAGCACACCAACATTTGCCTCATAGTGGTGCCAGAAGGAGAAGAGAGAGCGCAAGGGTTTGAAAACCTGTTTGAAGAAATAATGACGAAAAACTTCCCTAACCTGGTGAAGGAACTAGACATACAAGCCCAGGACGCACACAGAGTCCCAAACAAGATGAACCCAAAGAGGCCCACACCTAGACACATCATAATTAAAATGTCAAAGGTTAGAGACAAAGAAAGAATATTAAAAGCAGCAAGAGAAAAGCAGTAAGTTACCTACAAGGGAGCCCCCATAAGACTGGCAGCTGATTTCTCAAAAGAAACTTTGCAGGCAAGAAGGGAGTGGCAGGAAATATTCAAAGTGATGGAGAGCAAGGATCTACAAACAAGATTACTCTACACAGCAAGGCTATCATTTAGAATCAAAAGGAAAATAAAGAGCTTCCCAGACAAAAAAAAGCAAAAGGAGTTCCTCACCACCAAAGTAGAATTACAGGGACTCTTTGAGGGACTTTTTTTAAGAAGAGCAACAAGAAAAAAATATATATATGAAAAATAAAACAGCAATAACTACATACCTGTCAACAATTACTTGAAGTGTAAATGAATTAAATGCTCCAGTCAAAACACAGAGTGGCTGAATGAATAAGAAAATAAGACCCATACGTATGCTGCCTCCAAGAGACTCACTTTGGATCAAAAGACACACACAGACTTAACGTAAAGAGATAGAAAAAGACATTTCATGAAAAAAAAAAAGAAAAGCTGGAGTACCAATATTCATACCAGACAAAATAGACTTTAAAACAGAAACCCAAAATGCTACTTCGAGGGGATGTGTGCATACACAGGTTCATTGCAGCATTGTTTACAATGGCCAAGATGTGGAGGCAGCCTGGATGTGGTTGATGGGTGAACGGAGAAAGAGAAGGTGGTACATGTATACAATGGAATATTGCTCAGCCATGGAAGGGAATGGGTTCTTGTCACCTGAGGCAGCATGGATGGACCTGGAAGGAACTGTGCTGAGTGGGGTATGTCAGACAGAGAAAGACAGATGCAATGCGATTTCACTCATATGTGTAATCTAAAGAACAAAATAAACAAACAAAACAGGAACAAACTCATAGATACAGGGAACATCTTGATGGTTGCCAGATGGGAGGGGAGGTGGGGGTGAGTAAAAAAAAAAAGAAGGCATTAAGAAGTACAAATTGGATGTTACAAAGTAGTCATGGGGATATAGGGTATAGCATAAGGGATATAGTCAATAATATTGTGATAGTGTGGTATGGTGTCATATGGTTGCTGGACTTATCATGGTGATCACTTCATTAGGTATATAAATGTTGAATAACTATTGTGTACACCTGAAACTAATATAATATTGTATGTTAGCTCTATTTTAATAAAAATCTTTTAAAAAAGATAAACTAAATCTTACGATGCCCTGTCTCCATCCAGTTCTTAACAACACATATATTATTTTTCTGTGCCCTGTATATGATACAAACTTTACGCATCTGAAACATGATCTTTTTAGTGTGAAAATAAGCTTGACCTTTAAAACCATAAATAAAATGGATAGGAAAAGATAAATTTGCTCACCCCACTCATGGACTACTAGAATTAAAAGATAACTCTTGAGGCTTGAAAGAAATAATTTTCAAGAATTAAATAATTTACCAAAAGTGGCAAAAAAATGTATATAACTCTTTTTTTCTAAGATATGGTACAGAGTGAAAAATGATAATTCAATGAAAAAAAAGAGGCAAACTCAATGATAGTATCTCTATAGAAATCAAGCTATTTAGGGTGCATATCTTTTTTTTTAAATTTATACCAGGGAGAACAACTATACCTTCCCACAAAAACTAGTCCCACAATTAGACCCAGGTTGGTGATACTTAAATTCTTATTTTACAGTGACTTAATTTTGCTTATCATTGCATGGGCAGTCTCCTGTGATATAAGGGGGGAAAAAAACCAGGGAATATTATTTAAAATATATGAGCAAAAAGCAAAGTTTACTCATATTTTTATAATACATATTTCCCTATGTTACATGTACTATGTAATTGTTTAAGTTTTTATTCTTGAATCTAATCATAAAAATTTAGCAAATCAACCAAAAAATGAATTATTATGATGATGCAGAGAGAGTACTAGACTAGCACAGATTATCTGGGTTCTAGTTTTATCTCGGTTGTTAATTGCCTGTGTGATGTGGATAAAGACACCTAAGCTTTCTAAGTTTTTATTGCTGTTTCTGTTTTGTTTTATGAAAGGAAGAAGTCAAGTTAGATACCCATAGTGTGTGTCACCAGGTGGGCCATAAGATTAAATGTTGCAAAAAATACATAAGACAGGTATGTCACAGTAATAATACACAGCATATTGGTACAGATTTTATAGTCAATAAGGCATATTCCCGTGTAATTTTCTTATTTGAGCATCAAAGTAAATCTGACTATAGGCATTTAGGTATTCTCTCTGGATTGCCCAGGCAGAGCCCATCAATTCAAAAAGTGAAAAGACCAATTCAGGATCACACAGTTCCTAATAAGGTTAGAACTTGCACCTATATCTCATAAATTCAATTTCTGGTGTTCCTTCCACAAAATACACTACATCTTGTGATAAGACTGTTTGAAGCAAACCAGAAGAATGCAAGAGGATTCTTAATCTGAAATTCTTGAGGTGGATGGGTTTCCAATTCATATACTTAGAGAATAAAACCCAAACTTCTTAGCATGGCGTGCAAGGCTTTAATGTAACAGACCCTGCTAAGCTTACTTCTCTCCATTGTTCTCTTTTCCTTCCTTCCATTTCATCTATCCCTTTAAACTAATACGTCCTGTATTTTTTCAGCACTTGCTGTATGCCAGGGTCTAGTCGAGATATTAGAAATAGAGCAGAAAACTGGAAGTACCCTGGGTCTTGCCCTGATGGGCTTACATTCCACATGCAGGCTTAGCCAGACAATATTTGGAAAGTGGCACAAAGAAAATAAAATGGGTAAATGGTAGAGAGAAGACCCGGGATCAGGTGGGGTGCTCCGTTAGACAGACGTGTCAGGGCAGTACTCTCAGTAGAGAAAATTGTGGCCTGAATGATGAGAAAACTGAGCCACGCCAAGGTCTAGTGGGAATTACTCACAGCAGAGGGAACAGTATGTGAGAGGGCTCTGGGTGTGGGGAGTGAAGGGACGAGCCATTTATAATTCCTGGACAGGCCACACTGCCAGTCCTCTCCATGCCTTCACATGTGCTTCTCCTCTTCATGAACGATCCATTGTCTGACCCACACTCCCCCTCCCCGCTTGTCTGCTTAATTCCTCAACCTTTAAAAGTCAGCTTGGATACATCCTCTTCCAGGAATTCATTCTTCTATGATCTTCCCTCTCTTTCCCCATAACCTGGCTTGGAATTTATCCCATGAGTTCTGTAAGCATTCTCTATTTAACACATATCTTATTGTTTTATAATCATATCTTTCTATCTTTTGATTATGAAGCCTTTAGCATACAGAATACATCTTCTTCGAGCTTAGAATGATGGCTGGTTAATATTCTCTCAATGTATACATGGTGGAGGACTTGTTACCTGATGGCTTAACACTAATAATAGGACATAAAGAAAAAGGAGACCAATGAACTACTAAAATTTCAGTAGAGAAAGTGAAGACTATCACCTAAGAATAATATTATACATCATTCACTGCAGTGCAGTATCTGTCGTACATACCTTTTCAGATACTTCTAAGTGAAATACTTTTAGAGCTTGCTTAAAATCTGCTTTATCTAAAAGTCCATTTCCTTCTTGGTCCATTTGTTGAAAGTGTTTTCCTAATCCAGTCAAAATACGGACACCTCTTTTATGTAGCTGTTCTTTCAGCTCATCTGTTTAGGAAGAAGAGAGATGGAAACTAATAATAGTTCCTATTCACAAATGTATCGAATTGCAATTGTCTCTCTTGTAGAAAAATTAAAGTTGATGCAACTGATGAAAAAACTGTCAACCAAATCATATGTATGACTGACAAAACATTTTTGGAAAATAGAATGCTTTTAATAAAGAGGGTTATATATAAAACTACATGTAAATATAGCAGAACTACAGCACCACTGTGTGGTGAAAGAGTTATATTTTAAATACAGAAAAATGTTACAGCATGAAAGTAACCTAAATGCTACAAATAAAATGTTATTTTCTAGGCATCCTCTTCATCTAACAATCCCACACTTTTCACCTTTTTCCTTTGTCTTTGCTGTTACCAACTGAATTACAAAAGTGACACCTGGCAAATAACTCAATAAATATCAGCTCAAAATTCCTAACATAGTTTGCATCTTCAAATTATAACTTATATGTTAAATAGCATCAAGGCTTTAGCGTGCTATCCTACACTTACACATGTAAAGTAACCCTTTCTTCCAGGAACTCCTAAGAGGTTATATTCTCAGGCGTCTAGCCTTGTCTTTGTGGGTCAGTGATTTCACTTAATGCAGTTTGGGCCATCTTAAGAATACACAGAGAACTTTACTAAAGCAGTTACTAAATATAATATGTTATAGGAAGTAAATGTCACTAGATACAATAGTGACAAATACTGTATTGACCATGGTAGAATAAACAATTGACCAACAATGGCATCTAAACTATTTGACAGTTCATATGCCAATTCCAGACAGCTTTTAAATGTTTCTAGCCTTCTTACTCCCTTATAGTCTTTAAATGATAAACCAGGATTTATCAAAATTCATAAATTATATGCTGATTTTTGTGATTACTTGTTTAATGGCTTTCTGCTTTCTAGACTATGAAATTCAACAAAGACTTGATTATTTTGAGCCTAGTGCACTCTAGTAGTTACAAGTATCCAAAGCCTACATCTATTTCATTTATTACCTACAACTCTAGGTTAATAAAACAGGTTTTCCTCACTTTAGAGATGAAGAAAGAGGTGCAAGAGATCTACACAAAGTCATATGTCTACTGAATGACAGAGTCCAAACATGAAAAGTGCAGCACCTTTTTTTATACTACGGCTGCCAGAAATCTCTTTAGGATATCGCCTAATGCCTAAGACAAATATTATGCTACATAATCAGCTATATTTCATTCAGTTCATAAATAAAACCCATGTTACATAGTTTTTTCTAAAACTGTTAAATTCATAGTTAAAATAATAGTAGTTATTCAGTCAGACAGGATCATTAAAGTAGGAGCAATCCTAAAAACATTTTTGTATGTGTACACACACACACACACACACACACACACACACACACACACACACATAATTAACTTACCAAAAAAAGCAAATAGGAAATATAAATCAAATGCCATAAAACTAAAAAACATCTGGAAATACTGCTTTACTACTTACAAAGAAAATGGTTAAAAATTAAAAATACTTGAGAGTATAGTAAAATGATACATACCTTGAATGGCCTTGAAGACCAACCTATCATTGGCTTCCTGCCTGTTTATATCATCCTCATGTTCCACAAAATCAGTTCTGCAATTGACATGTTCGCAGTGATAAAAATATATTGTTTTATAACCTTGAGTATGGAAACTCCAAGCTTTTCCCTGTTTTAGACTTAATTAAACTCTCATCAAAGTTAGAAGAGTGCCTAGAGATTAATCAAATCCCACTTTCAACTGACAATTTAATCCCAGGAGGATTAAATATGCTAAGAAAAGGCCTAAAATCCTTAAAGCCTTCCAACAACTACTTTTAACATTATGTTTATTTTTGTAGCTATTTCAGTGTTCTTATAAAATAATTAAAGCTATTAAATGTAAAAACAGTTTTACCTTGTAAAGTACAAAATGTAAAAATGTTATTTTTAAAAAGCCAAAAAGATTGCATTCATTTTGAGCAATACCATAAATGACAAAGTGAAACAAACTTCCTTACAGCCAATTTGTGGGATATGGCCTCTAATGCACATATAGTACACCAATTATTGTCATTTTGAATTATATTTATCACCAAGAAACACTCAGCAAGAACAGCATATATTTATCACCAAGAAACACTCAGCAAGAATAATAGCATGTATATAATTAAAACAACTCAAATTCATTTAAGAGTGTTTTTCATTCATAGCATTATTTTCTCATTATGCATTTTACCAGAGAACACTATAAACATGCAGCCCCCAAGATATTTTTTATGCTAAAAAAACACTAAAAATGTGGGAGAAATTATTAATATTGTACTGTATCTCATCTTTTAAATTTTATTGCTTTGGTAGCATTTCATAAAATACAAGTGTTATAACAAAGGCAAAATAATAAAATATCTTTATGATGAAAAGGGACATTTTTGTTCTTTACTTGACATCACTGTTCTCACACATGGAGTACAATATAGCATATAAAATAGACAAATATAGCTATACTTTGTTTTAAAAAATATAAACCTAACTAAAGTTAAAATACTTTGGGACAGAATCTCACTTTAAGAGAATAAATAATAGAGTTTTGACTTACGTTCATAATAACAAATGCATGTTTGACTTACCTGAGAGAATCCAAAGCTATATGATCAATATTTGTGATTCGAAGTATAAGTAACGTGTTTTCTTTTATGCTTTCTGGAAGTCTGAGATGATCAGAATTCAAAAATGTCAAGTTTGCACCCTAAAAAAATTAACAGATGAATTATTTAAAATTCAGAAAGTCTATAAGAAGTAAAATACAACTAATACTAATTTAAAATACTCACTTTTGAATATGTGACATAGTACATTTTTATAATGATTTTTTTAAAAGCATATTTAGGGCCGGCCAAGTGGCTCAGTGTTGGCTAGGGAGCGCGACCTCTGAGCAGCAGGGCCGCCAGTTCGGATCCCACATGGGCCAGTGATGCTGCATCCTCTACAGCTAAGATGGTGAACAACAGCTTGACCTACAGCTGGGCTACCGTGAGTCGTTGGCTCCAGCATAGGCTGCAGAAGGCTGCCGTGAGCTACTGTGAGTGGCTGGCAGCCAGCGTGAGCGGCCGGCAGCTGGCATGAGCTGCCATTCAATTGTTACCAGCCAAGAGAGGCGCCCCCAAAAGAATTTTAAGTTTTCTTCCCTATGGAAATGTTAAGTCTCCTCCCTGGTCTCTTAGTTCCTTAGCTCTTGGCTTTGATTACTTTTCTAACCAGTTTATAAATCCTAAAAGATTTCTCCTAGCCTGAATCCTAAAATTCTATCCCCCTGCTTCTTGATTGCTTTGTAAATCAGTTTCTGAATCCTAAACAATAGAAGTCTTCTGCTTCAGATAACTACTTGAGGGCCTGTGACTTCCTAATATCCCCCAGGCCAGTAAACTAAATGCCAAACCCATTCTGGGCCCAGACAACTGATGCCACCTGAGTAACAGGCTGAATGGCAACAGGCTTCATGAGAGCTAACAGATTTATTAATTAAAATCTATTTTTCCTCATTCAGGGACTTTGGGGATACAGAGAATACCCCAACAAGATTGCTGGTCACAACCGAAGAAGCCAGTGCAGTCTTCCAGGCGGAGCTTGAGACCCCTTCCTTCCATCTGAGATCAGCTAGGGCGAGAGTTCCGTGAATCCCCCAATAGGCAGGGACAGCTCTACACCCCTGCCCAGCAGGAAGCAGATACAGAAGAAGAGACCTCCTGTCTCTCAGCTTCCCATAGAGATTTCATGGGGATCACGTTTCTCAAGGGGAAGACTAGGTAGGCAGATAGAGGCAGACATTTGGTCTCTGCATTCCTGCACGTCCCACAGAATGTGACCTGCCCAGTGACCTCCCCTCTACACCCAAAACTTCTTTTTATTAACTATCTACCCCTGAAACAAATGGGTACAACTAGATCAAACCAGTCACTTGCACCTGTGCAGTACATCCTGTCAATCACAGGTGCCAATCAAGTGGTCCCACACCTTTAGGGAAACAGCCCATTCTAGAGAAGGGATAAAAACCCCAAGTCCTGGAAAGTTCAAGCCTTTTTCCCTTTATTCCCTTTTGGACACCCTGCTCTTTTGACCGCTTCTTCCTTTTTGAGCCCTTGCACGTGGCCTGCTCCAAACCCTTTGGAATGTAATTTCTTCTCTAATAATGGGCCCTTGAACTATTCTCTACTGCTTGGGCCTACTTCTACTCTTTGAAATGTATTAGCTTTTCAAAAAACTACTTTTTCAGTGCTTTACTCTGGCATCTCATTCAATTCCTTGTTCGAGTTGCCAAGGACCTGGATTTCGCACTGAAAAGGGCCCACTTTCTGATAACACAATGGCCGGTGATCGATCTGCCTCATTCGGGAAGAGCACAATGATAATACCAACTTGGGCCAGTGAAGCAACATCCTCCACAACTAGACTGAAGAACAAAAGGACAGCAACTTGTCTGTTCCCATTCCCCGATTCCCCAACACTGTTCGCTCCCCCAATTCCCCAATAAAATCTTTTTTAAAAAAAGCATATTTAGAGTCCATTTAGAAACTACACAGGCTTCAGCTAATATAGGAAAGTAAAGGAACTAATCTGCTAATCAATCTCTGAATTAGAAAAATCTTGTTTAATAATCTATGTAAAAAAAAATAATGTAAGAATTCCAATTTTTTATAAGAATCACAGGAAGAAAGGGTAAGTTATTCAAATCAAAATAATGGCATTCCTAAATACAAAAATAGAGTTGTTGATCCACAGAAATATGTATGACAAACTGATGAACTGTATAGATCAATCACACATTTTTACTTGGTTTTTTGATAACAAACACCACATAACTGCAAAACCTAATTTTAAACTAATTAGAGCATAAAGTCTTGAGTAAAACTATTTCTATCGCAAGTCCTTAATCCACACTTAGAAAATTGTCATTATTTTAACTTGTGAGTTGCTCAAATAAATATGGTCAAATAAGGACAACTACTAATTTAAAATAAGAAGTTTAATTTTCTCTCTTGAAAATAATGGAAGAGAATTCTCTCCTCTCCTTTTTCCTGGAGCATTTACTTTAGAAAACCTATAACTATAAGTACTCTCTCCTTTCATTGAAATGTATATAAATTCTTTTGAAATTGTAATATTAAGCAATTGAAGAGACTAGGTGAATTGTGTAGCAGGGTTATACATATCAGCATACACATAAGAGCTAACTTGTGTATACATACATGTGTGCATAAGAATACATCTGTGCGGTCTGTGTCAGTGCATCCAAAGCTATATAGCTACATACTACATGCATATTAATGAACATATGTGGGTGCACTTTTATGAACGTGTGTCTATGGGCAAATGTGCATCATTATTTGAGTATTACATTAACAGCTAGCACTGAATTTCTTTTAGAAAGTGTTTAGGAAAATACTTTGTGGGGCATATAGAAATGAAATGATAAGCCCAGAGCAACATCTGGAAAGCAGAAGACACCCCCCCCCCAAAGGGTAAAGTAGAATATTTCTGCATAAAGAAATGGAAGACTGTGAGAAGGAGCAAAAGGTGGGGGGAGTCGAAAAATGAAGAGGAAGAACTTTACTATAGGAAATATTCAAAGTATGTATTTTTAAGAATAAGAATGTCTAATAAGGAATTCTAAGTTCTTATAATATTAAACTGTCTTCATATCCCTTACAAAATGTCTGCCACACACCAAGCATCGTATATATGGTTTGTGTGTGGCTTTTCCTCCCTCCCTCCCTCCCCCGCTCCTTCCCAGCTTCTTTCCTTCCTTCTTTCCTTTCTTTCATAAAAGGGAGCAGAGTTCTACATCTGCATCAAGTGAACTGGAACAGGAATAGTGAGAATAAGGTCTAACTATACTCAGTTATTGGAGACAGCACTCAGAACTAGAGGTAGCTTTAATTGTGGGATAGGCATTAAACATACTTTTTGCAGGTTATGAAATGTGAGTCAGAGCTGATTTTTAATAGCTCTCAAGAGGCAGACTTGAGTGACACATGCATATATGTAAACTTGAATTATTTAATCCAACTTTAGGAGGTAAAGTTTTTCCTAACCCCCAATTCCTCACCTAAGTGGTTACTACATCCTATTGATTCTACTACTTCCTAAAGATTTATTTTACTTTATTTTTCCCATTACCTTCACAGCCACAGCCACCTGCCTATTTCAGGTTGCTAGACTTATATAATTCAGTCCAATCTGGTTCTTTGTATCTAGTCTTCAATCCATTCCCCACATTGTAACCAGACAGATCTTTCTAAATCGCAAACCCAATAATGTCACCTCTCTCCATTCTGTCTACATCTTGTCCTTCAATGACTCCCCAGAATACATTTTAGGTAACTCTTTAATAGAGGCTGCTCTGAATAAGCTTCAACTGATTCTTTTTCTTAGTTAGTTTCAGGTGTACAAAACAATGTAATAGACATTTATACCGCTCACAAAGTGATAACCCTCCTCCCCCAATCTACTACCCCTCTGACATCGTATATAGCTGTTACAGTTCCACTGACTCTATTCCCTATGCTGTACTCCACATCCTGTTAATTATAGTTGACATTCAGTATTATTCAGCTTCAGCTTCAGGTGTACAGTGCAGTGGTCCAGCATCTACACGGTCCATGAAGTGGTCCCCCTAATATTCCAACTCATTCTTGACAACACCCACCTTGAACTCTACACTCTGGACAGGCTTTCCCTAATCTCTCCTATCTCCCTATCCCAGCCTAGCTAACTTATTCTCTAGGTCAAGGTTAGATGGCACTTCCTTTAGGAAGCCTTTTTTGACCCCACAAAACTAAATCATTACCCTTCCTATCTGACCATGTTACCCATTCGTCTGTAAGCTCTACAGCAGCAGGGAATAGGTCTAACTTATTCATTGTTCTCCCTCCAATGCTTAGCTTATGAATACATATGTGTTGTTGTATTGAATGATCATTGTGGCTAGTGCTGCATTTTAATCATAACACTGAATATAATGATTTAAAATGTAAGAGGCACTATATATACTGTAACATTACCTATGATTGACCCGTCCTAGGAAATCCCTGTGGTACATCACATGCCAAGAGTTGCATGAGGTGGGAAAATCACAAGGATAAGCTAACTCTCAGATATATGACAGCTCCAGAAGCCAACTACCCCTCTGGATAGAGAAAACCATGCACACTCAAAAGATAAGCCTGTTTTAGCTGAAACATCACTCCTGGTGCTATTGAAGTAGCCACTTACCCAATAGGACAGCCCTGCAAAGCCTTTAAAAGTACTAAGAGACAAGCTCTCCTGGGCTTATACTGTGGATTTGGGTGGGGTAGAAAGTAGTGTTACAGGGAATAAATGCTATGTTTAGATTCAGACCACTGGGATCTGAGCCTGAGAGGCAGAACCTGCAGGAAAACATCAACCATTAGCCATTCACAAAAATTTCCTCGTTCAGGAAGGAGAGAAAATCGACTAAATTCAAGAAACCCTACTCCTCCATCCCCACAGGGTCCCACAAAAGCCAACATCTGGAACTAAAACATTTGCAGGCACACTTCACTTACAACATAAAAATCACCAAGTTGGTATTGTTTTCCTTTTCTTCGTCCACGCTGATGACTATAAATGTTTTTTTGAATAAAAGGTAGCACATTTGTTCTAGAAGTTAAATAACAAAAATGTGAAGTTATTCGGCTTCTCTCAGAAATGATCATCTTGACAGGTGTTAACAATGTTTCATGGCCCACCTATTTTTCCCAAATTGCCGATATTCATAAACTGTAAGGGAGTGATCATGAGTAAAAAAGAACCCAATCAGCTCTCTGCACGCATCACGTCCATTTCTAGAAAGAGAATAACATCAAAGATTTTCAAATAGGATAAATTTCAAATTAAATAACAAGCTAACATCATGCATGTCAAAGAGGGATATCATTAACTCCCTCAAATGTGTGGCTATGACCAAGGGTTACGGGAAGCCACAGGGAAAAATGCCACAGCTTGCTGACATGTCAACGTAAGTAAGATTTGGATGGAGAAAAAGCTTTATCTTACACTGATACGAATATGGATATATTACAATGTAGATGACTAATGTGATACATACAGACTTTTAAGATAAAGTAAAACATCTTAAAAAAATGTTGAGCTTTTAAGAAGCCACTCAAAGATATATATTTATTTTCTTTTGTCACAGAAAGTTTAAAAATCATTGAACAAACATGATAATTAAAAAAAAAAACTTTACCATTAGTATACACAAAGAATATCAAGTAGCATTATGTTTTACTGGACGTTTATAAGACTGTGATAAGAGATTTAAGAATCATCTACTTTGTCACCTTATTGCATCTATCAATATTGTACTGTTAACTTAAACCATTAAATGAAATTACATAAAGCAACTTACATAAAGTTTAATTTTTAAATGATTGAGGATCTTCTAGTAGCAATATATATCTTTTTAAAATTCACTTCTACATTTCTTTTTTAAACACATTTTAAAATCACTTGTAAAATAACCTCTAATTAAAATGTTTTCCTTATATGTTCATATTTCCTACAATTTTTGTAACAGACTAACTAATATATATTACCTAAAAATGTTTATTCTAAATTCACATTTCACTTCTCTGTGACAAATTTAACTAACGTCATTATTGTTATTTCTATTTGAAAAGAGAATATATTCTATAATCATAAGATTAAAATGTTTAATAAAATCACAATTACCTTGATATGATCCTACCATCAAACTGTACTTTATTAGAAAGCATATTTTCAGTTAATGTAGAATGTGTTCTTATCCTGTTAAGAAATACATTTGTCATTAATTATTTTAAAGTTACTACATTTGATATAAATGATAAAAGTACAAAAGAAGTTATGTCAATATTTTGAAATGCAGGGCCGGCCGTGTGGCGCGATGGTTAAGAACTCGCTTGGGACGCCAGAGGGCCCCGGTTCGGATCCCACATGTGAGGGCCAGTGACACTGCCCTCCACAGCTAAGATGCTGAACAACAGCTCAACCTGGAGCTGGGCTGCCATGAGTCGCCGGCGACGGCGTGGGCTGCAGTCCCTGTGGCAGTGGATTGCCATGGGCTACCGTGTGTGGCCAGCAGCCAGCGTGAGCGGCCGTCCAGAAGCCGGCGACTGATCTGCCTCGCCAGAGAAGAGCGCAATGATGGTGTTAACTTGGGCCAGTGAAGCAACGTCCTCCACAACTAGATTGAAGAACAAAAAAAAGACAGCAACTTGTCTGTTCCCCTTCCCCCAATTCCCCAGCACTGTTCCCATCCCCCCAATTCCCCAATAAAAATCTTTTAAAAAAAATATTTTGAAATGCACAAATTGGACTAAGATGAACGTATAAATCTTTTTTTTTTTCAGATTGCTCATTGTAGCAGACACATAAGAAATACCTTAAGGTATAGTATGTAGTTCCTGAATGACTTTTATGTTAGAATGTATAGTATCAAAGTGCTATAGAAGTAAATACTGACCAGAGAGCATATTTGTGGCCGGCACTGATGCTCTGCTAAGCCGACAGGTATTTCTAACCCTCTTCTTCTTGCCTCCCTCCCACCACAGAATTTACGTCCTTAGCCTCTTCCATTTTAAGGGACTAAGGGACCCAGTTCTGCCAATAAACTTCCGGAAAGACTTTGTTTTGTCCTGATAAGAGAGGGGCTTGGGAAGTTACTGCCTGTGATTGTGGCAGGGATATGATGCTAGGAGCTGCTGTAGCCATCAAGCAACCCCTTCAGAAAGGCCAATAAACTCTCAAGGAGCCAGCCTAGGCTTGCGCCATCGCAGAACCACTGAACTAAAACCAACAGCTGCCTACTTCCAGGCAGCTGGTTGTATAAGAAAAATGAATCCTGACTTGTTTACGCCACTATCAGTCAGGTTTTCAGTTATGGGTGGCTGAAAACATTCCTTACCAAAATAACAGAAGAGTGGAAAAGAGTGTTAGAGGAGGATCCAGCCTTGGAATCGGGCTGCTGTGAGACCTCAGATCAGTTATTCAATCTTCACGGCCTTCAGACAGCAGTGAATATCCTCACAAAAAACTCTAGTCCTAAAATTCTGTTTTAGTAATAGGAAGCAAAACACAATGGCATACACTTTTGCACTCTACGACTAACAATTTCCTTTATTCTAAGAAATCTGAAGATTCAGTGATCTATCTTTACTCCCCTTCTTAAATAGTCTTATAATATTCCCATAAAATGCAGGCATAATAACATTGCAATAATGTAAATAGTAAGTAAGTGTCTGGGGCATTGGGACCTTGAAATTTTATCAAATCTAGGTCTCTATGAGAGTAATCAGGATGAGTTTGGGACGACAGAGCAGGGCCATGAAAGCTTGGTCATCTCAATTCAATTTACTCGATTAGTATTAATGTGTTTATTGAATTCCCACTATGTGCCTGAAACAATTCTAAATGCTGAGAAAATAACAGCCATAATAACAGCTACCATTTATTGAGAACTTCCTAGACACTAGTTGCTATTAAATTCACTTTAATGTGTGTTGGTTCATTTACTGCATGCAATAACTCCATGAAGTAAGTACTATTCCCATTTCACAAATAAATTGTACAGACTCATACAGTTAGTATATGGCAGAGCCAGAAAAAACGTTGCTCATAACCATTACATTAAATTGCTTCCAAGGTGGGCAGAACTCAGTTTAACTGTGATAGGCTGAAGTAATAGCCTCAATGAGTCTAGAGTCTCCTTGAAAAAATAAAGAAGTAAATAGGCATTTATACTATAAATGAAAAGTTCCATGTTGGGGCTTTCAGAATCGAATAAGTACCACCAATAATCTCTCTACCCAAGTTCTTAAAGAATACAGAAATAAGAATCAGGCAGGTGAAGACCAAAATATGAATTTTATCATAGATAAAGCCGTTGGAAACCATGGCTTATGAATGCAGCTACAAAAAGCTAAGTCTTTGACACTAAAATTAAACAGACTA